AAAGAGGAAAGGAAGGCTCGTGATGCCCCTACATCCTCCCAAGCAATGGCAGAAGAGTTCCAGTCTTGCAGACAGGCTGGTAATAGGTGAAAAACTCCCTTGGGGCTTCCTGCTCCTCCTGGTAACTTGAAGTCTCACCCTTCATAGGTTCTGTGGGCCAAACCCATCTTCCACATGAGGGGCTCTTTGTATTCCTCCGCCCCCCCCCCAAAGCTGCTAGTTTACCACCCTTCCATTTTGCTCTGTTTTGGAGACTCTGAAACCCTCCATTTTGCCAGGGGCTCTGTATGTCCTTCCTTCCCGCTGCTCCATGCCCTCATCCCCACTTCTCCCTCCAACGCCGGTGGTTCTGCATTCTTTCCTACCCACTCTTTTGCCTCATGCCCTCGTCCCTCCACTCCATTTTCCTTCCATGCCAGGGACTCTACGTGGCCTCCCTTATTCCCTCTCTGCCCTCTCTTTCTTTTTCACTATTCCTATTTATTTTCTTTCCCCAGGATGGAGGTGCAGTTATTCTGGGAGTTGTTTAATGATTGCCACCACTGATTCTTTGCCCCATAGAAAATTACAAGCTGCTAGGTGTGCAGTACTTGGGCTGCCTTCCATTGCTGCCTTCTGCTAACAAATCACTAAGCCCATTGCTGCTTACATCATTCCCTGAAATGTCAGGATGTGCTCTAAACAACCAAATGAAAGCCATTCGCTTGAGATTAGGAGAGCACTGATTCACTTGGCCAGTCAAGGTGTATTGGCAAACATTTCTGTGTATAAAGGACGGGAAAGGATGCTTGTAGTGGGTGGAATGGTGGGACAGAGGTCAAGTGGTCCAGTGAACAGGACACAGTATTTGGATTCTGATTGTATTTTAGTCCAGGGGTATAACGTTCCCACTTATCCGAGGCTGGACTTTTTCTGGGTCCCCACCAAGCTGGACCTCCCCTTAGCTCACCTGCTACGATTCTGATGGTAACAAATTAGATAGGAGGGAATCAGTGGGTGTAAATACAGAGGTTCCACTTGGGGTTACTCACGAATCTGGAAGCGGTTGATGAAGGGGGCTCCACCTCCCCTACACCCTCAGCCACCCGCCAGCCATTGGTGTCGAGTTGATGAATTATGTTGCCGGAGTCCGATCTGTTCCAGGTTCTTTCAGAGGCAACCCTGACAGCTCTATCTGGATTTATCCAGTTAGGCTAAATACCCTGCATCTACTAGGGGTTAAACTTTGAGTCAAATCCTGATGGAAGGACTCCAGGTATCCGGATCCTAATGTTTTCTTCCCAGAAAATCAAGAACAAAAAAAGAGAAAGAAACAAAGAGGAGGCTCTTCCCAAAAGGGTTGCTCCTGTTCTGGTTAACACCCTTGTTAGCCAGTCTGCTGCTTTCCCAGCTCCTTAAGAACGCTGGTCAGTTGCTGGGTCGAGGCTCAGTTTTCTTTGCTTCAGATTCCCCACAGCCTATGCAGCTCTATATGAATTGAGGCCTGTGGCTCTGACATGTCTCTGCCTGGGTGTCCCAAGCCTGCCTCTTCCTCGGGAGCAGTTCGCCCAGAGGCAAGCTCTCTCCTCCCTTCCCAGCACTCCAGGTGTCTTTTAAATCTCCCACAGCAGCGCTGGGGGCTGATGTCATTAGCCCGGCACTGCCCAGCTTGATTGGGAGCTGGGTCTTAAACCACAGTGGCGGTGCCATGCATGCCACTTCCTGCTCCAGGAGTAAGCTTCTTATTTTGTTGTGGTCTTGCCCAGCCCATTTGGGGTTCCGGGGTTTGCTCGTTGGGTCTCTCAGGCCCCTTTCGTTACAAGGGGTCAGCAATGTTTTTGGGCAGAGTGCCAAAAATACCCACAACCTCAACTCATAAGATGTTGGTGTGCCAGGGGCAGATGGCGGGGTAGCCGCAAGAAGCCCAAT